ACAGACCTCACCCCTCTTTCTTTCAGATGCCTCTAACTACTTGATAAACTCTATGCAGAAGTAGTCTACTTTTCAGTTTTCACTTGGATAGGCACCTTTTGTCTCTTAATGGATTCATAAAGAAGGAAAATCCAGTGAAACTTTGAAATGACTGGTACTGGTCTGATTTAAAGTTCCATTTTGAAGTTTACAAAACCAATATGGACCAATATTAGTAATTTCCACATTTTACTGTGCACGTTTTCCTTTCATTGCAGGCCTTTTTGAAAACAATGCTATTTAAAGGTCATTTCTCTTTGCTGTTAGTTGCTAAGTAACTTTTTGTGGTGGATCAGATGCTAAAACAAATCAATTTCTAGAATCAATCTGACAAGAAGTATGGGACTATGTTAGTGAGACATTTTAATGTTTCTCGCATGTGCTTTGGAATTAAAATTCAATATGATGAGTTGCATACTGTACAAAATGAGCATGTGTACGCTTTGTGCAATTTTAATAGAGTATAATGTGAAGGTATTTCTGGGCCATTAAGTCAAATGACAGACACTGAATGCTGAGGTAGATAACAAAGGGAGTTCACATTTTTCAAGCGCACAGTGTTACTGTCATCAATGCTCAAAATGGGATTCTTCAAGCTGTCCACAAGCATTTACAATTGCTGGAGACTTCATTTTTAGTACCAACTCTGCTATATTTAGATCTTGAAAGGAATTGTAGGTCTAATCTCAGTCATGGTAAAATGAAATGTGAATCATAATGTAACTGACAGCAGTAAGGGAGAAAACATCAGTTTATAATGAGAAAGTGAAGTGAGATGTCTTAAACACTACACTAGAGAGCTGTGCTCACTGACCTACTTAGAGAATTAAATATAGGAGTGTTACCGTACAGAAGGAGTCGAGCCTATTTGGAGATGAGCATGCAGATATCCAAAGCCCAAGATAGTCCAGACTGGTATCTCAAAATGCAGGTAGCAGCATTTTGGTTGTATCTTGTGCTTTAAGTCAATGAGAGTTGAGGATTAATATATTTTGGATGGGACATGCGTATTGCTGAATTTTTACACTAAAAGTAAGTTTGTTACATTGCACTTAAATGATGCCTCTTCATCTGGCTTGCATATACCAATTGAACTGAATGATCTGTTCTTGAATTGTAAATTCTGTATTTTTAAAACTGAATCACCATCCCAAGAAACATTTTTCATCAAGGAATTGTGTAACATGTGGTTTATTTATAATTAGCATGAAAATGTAACTTTTGCACATGGTACTTTTTTAAGGTGGCTGTCCTGTGAAGAGACTTAGTTTTCTTTTGTCAACAGTATTATGTTGAGGTTTTTAATCCAAATGTAACCACTGCAACACTCAAATGTTCTCATGTATGAAAAGAAATTGCACTTACCTGCATTTTTTGCATTTTTAACAAAAAAAATGTGAAGCAAGTTTGTAAAGTTTTCATAACCTAAGTATCAAATCATAAATGGGTATAAATCAAACTTGAGCAAACCTACCAATGGAAAAGTGCCAATGCAATAGCTCTGGCTATTTAGTCTTCTGAGAGCTTATTTTACATCTTATTTCCAATACTGTGGTAACAGATGCTAAAAGATAATGTTCTTCACAATACATTTATTGTAAACACTTAAAATGCCTGAAATTATAATACTGTTTTGAACCAGTAGTTTGTACTGCTGAGGATCTTGAATGTTTGATCTTCCCAGGGTCATTGCTACCAACTAAAGAATTCCGTAAGGGTTAGAATTCCCAACATGGATCTGTTCTCTCGAAATATATGGTTGGCAATTGTCATTCACAGGATGGCAGCCTCCAATAGCCTGGAACCGCTGAATACTTCTGCAACAGGTTGGAACAGCAGTTAATTAGAGAAATTTTTTTTTGCTCGAGTTAGTTTCTTCTAGGTACCAATTATAAATGGTTCATGTGTCATATTGTACATCCCAGGATTGCATTGACGTGAGGTAACAAGTGAGAGGCATCTGAGGAAGCAAGGCTGGACATTAGTTTTGTTTTAACAACACCTTATCCAAAGTCAAGTGCAGTAACAGAAAGACCTTCATTGCAAAGAAAGGTAAATGAGTGCCTTGTCCTATGTTGACTGAAATGTCTGTAAGATTGCACAATGACCACCAGTGGGGATAAACTAGTCAATAAAGTACTTCACTTAACTTGTAATTGAAGGTTCATTATTTCATGTTTGTTGCCATCTCTGCTAACTTGATTTAGACCCTTCAAATCACTTCCATCAGTTTTACGTGATGCTGTTAGCTTAAGCTATTTGAGAGGCACACTGAGTAAGTGAAGGCTTATGCTTAAAGTTCTTGCAGCAGAAGTTTGTATAATTCCATTGAAAGATTACAGGTGCAAGGAAGGGGACGGGACAAAGGATGATGACTAATATTCTCATTATCCACTTAGCCATTACATTAGCTACTTCCTAGCTGAAAGTATCTAGATATTTGGCAATGTGTAAATCACTGGGCATGAAAATATGAAAAACCTTGAGAATGGATGTGCGATGCATGATGTTTCAGTGGCGATTATAGGGATAATATTGCCCTTGACTTTGAACTAATTTAAAAGCGACCCGTATGAGGGATAGCAGTTAAATGTTCTAACGTGCAGTTGACCTATCCAATGTTATGATTTGATTCTACAGCCATTACCTGAGTTAATGTTTGAGAAGCATTGTTCTTGCACAGGTCAATGGAGAATGTGGCAGCTTCATTGGAGTCTGACATTCCTTCTCCACAAAAGTAGATTGTAGCCTTGATGATTATGGTAGACATATCAGACAAACTGTTGCATACTGGTTTGCAAAGACCTTTGTCTGGGCTACAGATGAGAGATTATAGCGGTTTTCAGTATCTTAACTACTATTAGGCCAAACATCCTGCTGATCCCTCAACAGATGTCAAATACTTCTCAACTAGCAATACTTCGCAGTCATTAGGCATTTACAATAAATACTTACCTTGTCAGCAACAGCCATACCTTTTTTTGAGTTTTTTTAAAAAATATGATGGCTAGAAACCATCCGCACAAGTGTCTCTCAAATCAGCATGTGCCAGGCACTCATGCGAGTGGTATTGGGGGAGGGGGGTAAAACTAGACTGCAGCAGCAGAAATTTGAGCGATGCAACAAGTGTGGCAGACCTAAGTTATAGGAAGATTGCTAATGTAGACACGTGAAACTTTTGCACCACAAGCAGTTAACTTTTTCTGATATTTGACTCTTGAGCTGCATTTAGGAGGGAACTTTTTAGAATAGGAGAAACAAAATGTGCACTTATTCAGCACGGGGCAATTGCGCTTCACAAACACTAGCATCTTTCCGACTGTGAGGAGAATTGTCTGGCTAAGTACTATCCAGAAGAAAAAGCAGGACAAATCCAATCTGCCCAATTACCAATCCCATCAGTCTACTGCATGATGCTTATGTCTTTTCTTGATTGTTGGAGGTTGTGGATTTTGTGCTGTTCTAGGAAGCTTGGTAAGTTTATGCACCTTGTAGAAAGTACACAATGCAGCCACTCAGTACAATTTATGGAGTGAGTGAATATTTCAGGTGCTGGATGAGATTCCGATCAAGTAGCTGACTTTGTGCTATGTCAGAATGCTCGAGTGTTGTTAGATATGGACTTGCAGCGAAGTGGATGGTATTAATTCTGACTTCTAGATAGTGGGAAGTCAGAAGTTGAGTTACACAGTACAGAGTAGTGGACTTCTGAACGGTTGTAGTCGGCAGAGTATTTATGTGGCCTTGTTCAGTTTCTGGTCAGTAGTAATCCCCAGCATGTTGATGAGGGATTTGAACCTTAAATCCTTAAATTTTATGGTGAGATTCTCACTTGTTAGGTGTGGTCATTATCCGCATATAAGTCTGATATTTCTCACTTATCCTAAGCCTGAATCATGGCCTGCTTTATTGTTCGAGGAATTGGAATTGAGGATGGAACTGAACACTGTACTAGTCAGAGCATCTGAAACGATTCACTTCGCTGGACTGATGACCATATTGAGGAAATCTTATTGTTGAGGCTAAATAAAGTTGTTTCCTAGATCCAACAAAAGAACTCCTGCAAGTGACATCCTGTTGCTGAGATGATTGGCCTTCAATACTCTCCTCTATCTATCTTTTGTACATACTATGGTACCAACCACATTTGAACAATGGCCCTTTCTTGATGTCTAGGGGTGAGAGGATACTTCTGGATTCTAAATGAGCATTGGTGAGTAGATGCTGCTTGATACCAGTGTTAAAAATCTTTATGATTGGAGAGTAAATTTTCCAGACGGTAATTGCCTAGATTTGGATTTATTCTGCTTTTTGTGAATTGAATAGAGTGGTTAGAGAAGTTTAAGGACAGGGAGTTGTGTAGATGTGAAGCGATTCAATCATGACGATAAGTTTACATTTTGTAGGAACACTTGGAAAAATCTAAATCAAAAAGGACCAGGATTGTGGTTGAATTGGATTTGAGACGGAAGCAGCAGATTTTAGAAGAAGCTGAAGTTTCTAGATGTTGGAAAATGGGAGCCAGCTGAGAAAATAATGAATCTGGTGCTATCAAGGGTTTATGCAGTCAAGCACCCTAGATGTGTGGGTGCATGGTTGTGTGCGGCAGTTGGGAATGCACCATGGTGGAAACGAAAATGAATGTACACAAATGAATGCTGATTGGAATGTTGGTTTATGGAGCAGCTTGAAGCAAAGCAGGAACATTTCAAATGTGAAAATTGGCATTGGCAGTGAAGGGCAGGGTTATTCCAGCATGATGTCTCTGTTTCCACATGTGAAATTTATTTTGCTCCTAAAATTTCACAAGTTGTATTACAGCTGGCATTTGCATTTTGCATGTTAGATTCAGATTGATTTTTCAGCATTTTTAACCTGGTTGTTCGCAAAGGAATTAAGTTTGCAATTCTCGCCTGATCTGACAGAACTAGGTAAAATAAACGTAATTTTTAAAAAAGTTGTTACTTAAGCAAAGAAATGCTTTATTTAAACTGAAGTACAAATGTTTTTAAAATCAAATAGAAAAATAAAGAAAATGCAACTCTTTTTCAAAACAAATTTCAAAATTGGGTCTTCATGAGAATAAAGCCTTCCTGCAAAGTATAATTGAATTTCAAAAATATGCAAAATTCATTCCTGAAATGTACATAAGCTATTAAAAAATTGCAGCTTATCATTTTTCACATACAATCGCATCCACTACTAGAATGATCTTTTTAACAATTAAATCTGTTAATCCTGCAACTACAGCCTTTGGTGGATAGAAAAATCAAAATAGCAACATCTGTACACTGGAAGCTAACAACTTCTAGCCATTGGCAACAGAACATGATCAGGAAATTGTGGGAAAGCTGCCCATATGTGGAGAGTGAATAAGAGATCTCAATTTGTGTGTGCACTTTGAAAAAAGAAGACACTAGTATCTCTGCTATTCTACCCTACCTGCATGCATTAATGAAATATCACCAAAAGTTATAATAAATGGCAAATACGTGCAGACACAGCATCTCCTGACAAGACAGATGTAGCTGTCAGTTCGATAACCAACGGAATGGAGCCCTCTTTGGATCCTTGAACCTGCAGACCATTTCTATGGCACAGTGTTCCCTTCTATAAATTGCTAAAACTAAATGTCCAAGACAATGTAGGATAAATGCCATACAAGAGCAGACTTTGAAACTGCAGTATTCTTCAAATACTTTACAAATTCTCCTCAAATCTTTAGCTTGGTGCAAAGAGGCTTTATGGTTTTAAGCCATAATTGTTTTGTATTTTTAAGCCACTAGATGTCAGCATTAGGGTCCTTCTTTTATACAATGGACTGATCTGGCTCAGTCTTCAGCAGAAAGGTTCTGTGTTTGTTCCTCAGTGGCACTGAATTCAGAATGTTCCTGCACATTCTCCAAATTCTCTGAACTTTCATAGCAGCCTGAATCCCGTGGGATATCACACAGAGGAGCTGAGCTTGAGAGTTGTGTGTCAGTATTATCTCCTTGCTCTTCTGTCTCACTTCCTGCTGTAAAAAAAAACGCGTAATATTGATTTTACAGATATATGGCACTTCTAAAAATATTAGTACGGGGGACTTCAACCTTTCCTCTCAATATTGCAAATGCATTCTTACAACATGCTTGACCAACATAATATGGTTTCCCAGAGGTTCGCGATTTCCCTTGTTATCTTGGGTTGAAGGCCCAAGCTAAATGCAAATTTTCTAATCTGTTGAAACAGATTTTCTTCTGCAGTCTTTAGCTTTTTATCCACACCCTTACCCAAAATGGTGCAAACCAATACAGTACGTGAAATGCCAGATTCAAAATATGGATTGGACGATGGTGTTAAACACATGTGGAATGGATCAATACATTACAATAGAAATTAATAAGGCACTGCACTGTTGATTGCTTTTGCATTTTTATACTTCTAACTCAACTTGTGTAGCACTAAGATTTCATTGGAAAAGAGCAGCTTTCAAAATTAATAGGAATACTCTTGTTGAAGCCAGGCACTAAAATTAGGTTCTGCTTTCATAATTAAAGGTATTTAAATGCCAATGATTTTTCAATTTTGTTTATTCCTGCATTATTAAGGGTGATTTCATAGTAAATGCAGATTGGTGTGCCTAATTATAGAGCAGACAAAATGAGCAGAAATAACTGAAGAAACTCAACAGGTCTGGCAGTACCTCTACACTGTGTTAGCTCTTTCTCTCACCAATGTTGCTTTTTTTTTTTTTTGGAATGTTTTTCTGTCCTGTAATTCTATTCCTAGATCAGTCAGCAGCTGGGAAACATTGATGCTATAGTTCAAATGTATTTAATGGGTCAAAGCCAGGAGGAAATATGAATTGGTACTTTAATTTTGAAATGAACTGGTCCCATTCACAAGTAATTCATCTTGTTTTTCTGCTGAATTCACTTCAGAAACAACACTGTTCAGTAGTAGATTCTGCACTAGGTTAACTTCAAGATTAAACATATTTGTGCCTGATTTAAGTTGGATTGGAACTGTATTCTGTGATTAATACACAGTTATAATGTGAAGCATGAACTCAGCTAAACTGCTGATCTCTTGCCTCTGAGTCAGAAGTTTATGGGTTTAGACTTCACTTTAGGATTAAATACATAACCCAGGATGAGACTTCAGTGCAGTACTATGGAAGTGCTAAGGAAGAGTTACTTAACTCAGCAGGTCTGATAGAGAAATAGTTGATGTTTCAATTTGAATATGATTATTCAGAACACTAGTAAGGTAGAAATATGATGTGCTTTATGCAATAGAATGGGGGAGGAAGAACAAAAGTTTGGGATAAGGCAGAGGGCAGGTGAGACTAAAAGTTGTCATTGGACCAAAAGGAAAAGGTGACTATTGTAGTTCAGTGTGTGCAGTGTGAGTGTGAATGACAGATCGATGAACATCTCCATCCAAAAATGAGAATCAGATAAGAAGTGCCTAAAGGCACTGGGTGCTTCAAACACTGAGCCCCAACAACATTCTGATAACACTACTCCAGAACTTTCAACCCTGCTAGTCAAACTGTTTCAGGACAGCTACAACATCGGTACCTAGCTGACATGTAGAAAATTGCCCAGATGTCCTGTGTAAGAAGCCAGACAAATCTATCTGGCCAATCTGGCCACTTACCATTCTATCAGCCTACCTTTGACATCTTCCATCAATTTTCTGATGATCATCATCAGTGCTATCAAGTTGTTCTGGCTCAGCAATAACCTGCTTACTGCCCAGTTTAGGTTCTGCCAGCGCCACTCAGGTACAGATCTCCTTGAAGGTGGTGGTGAGCTGCCTACTTGAACCACTGCAGCCCATTTGGAGTAAGTACATGCATGATGTATTTACAGGGGAATTCCAAGATTTTTGGGAGTGTTCATGGCCAGTGACACAAGTGATTGTACTTCCAAGTCAAGATGGTAAGTGGCTTGGAGGGGAACTTGCAAGTGATGGTGTTCCTGTGTAACTGCTGGGCTTGTGCTTGTCCTTCTAGCTAAGTGCTTGTGGGTTTGTAAGATGCTAAGGATATTTGGTAAATTTCTGTAGTGCAGCTTCTAGATGATACTGCTGCTACAGAACATTAGAGGTGGAGGGAATGGATGCTTGTGGATATGATACCAATCAATCCGGCTGCTTTGTCCTGGATGTGTCAAGCTGCTTAAGTGTTGTTGGAGCTCATCCAGGCAAGTTGGGAGTATTCCATCACACTGTTGACATTTTCCTTTTGTAGATGATAGACAGGCTTTGGGAGATCAGGAGGTGAGTTGCCCCCCCGAAGGATTCCTTACTTCTGGCCTGCTCTAGTAGCCACTTTGTGGCTAGGCCAATGGTTATCCCCAGAATGTTGTTAGTGAGGAATTCAGTGATGGTAACACTGTTCAATGTCGAGGGGCAGTGGCTTGATTCTCTCTCTTCTGATTCTGACTTTTTCTTCACAGATGCTGCCAGGCCTGCTGAGCTTTTCCAGCAACTTCTGTTTTTGTTCCTGCTTTGTCTCTCATAAGAGATGGTTGTTGCCTGGCACTCGTAGCACAATTGTCACTTGCGACTTGTCAGCCCAAACTGGAACATTGTCCAGATCTTGCTCTATTTGGACACGGATGCTTCAGTAATTTGAGGAATTGTGAACTGTGCTGTACATTGCACAATCATCAGCAAACATCCCCACTTTTGACCTTATGAATGGAGGGAAGGTCATCAATGAAGCAGCTGAAGATGTTTACACCTCAGCCACTACCATGGGGAGCTCCTGCAGAGATGTCATCTCAGCTGAGATGACTGGCCTCTGATAAACTTAACCATGTTCCTTTTGTGCTAGGCATGTCTCTAACCAGTGTAAGGTTTTCTTCCTGATTTCCCCCAACTCGCAGTTTTGCCATGTTACTTGACAAAACGACCATATGACTTGATGGTGAGGGCATTCACCCTTCACCCTTCACCCTTCACCCTCCACCCTCCACCCTCCACCCCCCCCCCCCCCCCCCCCCCCCCCCCCCCCCCCCC